CTTCTGTATATAGGCCACACATCAATCGCAGAAATCTGTAGCTCACAATTTGCGGTGAGAGCCCAGATATTCGACGGTCTTATTGCGAGAGATCACGGGAAATGAGGAGAGACGGTTAGACAAAAAAAATTTTTTGCGTCAAGCTCTTCTGATTGCCATTGGAAAGGACTGTTTTTCGTGAGGAAATTGTATGCCTCTTATGTTGTAAACACTCAAATTTTTGAAGTCAAACATTGGAAAAAAATTTTGAAATTTTACAAACCTTCGGCGTAAAAATCTCACCAATTTTTGCAAGTTGTAAACTAAAAGTTTCACAAATTTGTTAGAAAATGGTGTTCCAAATTTGTGTCAAGTTTCATCGAAATCAAAGAGATTTTATTTTTTCGATTTAAATTTTTTTTTAATTTAATTTTTTTTTTTTCGTTTTTTTAAAGTTCATCAATCTCCCTGAATTCTTCATTACTCCGGAAGCCTTCGGCAGACCCATTGCACCATCCCAAACCCGCCGAAAATGAAGGCGAATACAAAAGCCATTTGAGGGGGAGGGAGAAGTGAATTGGGAGAGGAACCATAAATAATAATATGAGAAAGCCCTCAAAATCAAGGAAAATATTTCGTATTCCGATCCGACCCGACTTCTGGAACTCGAATAATTTTTTTTTGAGGTGGATGGGGTCCGAAAAAACGAAAATTAAGGCTATGGCAATATGAATTATCTGTCTGTCCGTAAAATAATGTGGGTTGTCGCATCGAAAATGCACGTCGCTGTGTTGAAAAGCAATTTGATTGTGCCACGACACAATTCAACAAATTCTTTGATTCTGCCGAAGCTTGGCACAAATTTTGAGCATCATTTTGCTCACTAGTCTATCCGCAAAGTCGCCGGTGTGTATTGGCAACATGCAGAAAATTATGAACTATTAAAAAAAATTTTTTTTTCTTTGACCGTTTCCCCTCATTTTCCGCGCTGTCTCTTCAAAAGATCGTATTTCGCGTGATATTGCCGACATGCACTGTGCGAAAACAAAAAGTTCACTTTGCACTGTGCAATAAGCTTTTTTGGGCTGTCGCTCCCATTCTGACTTTACTGCACAGTGCAAACGGCAAATCACTCTAAAATTACGGACGGCCTAGTAGGAGCTATGTGGAAGTTTGAGCTTCCAATTTGCTGAAACCGACGATGAATTGAGCCATTTTATACGATGAAACCTATCTGAAAATTGCTTGGACAAGTTTTATCGTATAAAATGTCACATTGATTTTTTATGAGCTGTAACGTTGAAATCTCTGTATAACGAAGTCTTGTTTAACGAAACCCCTCTACAACGGACAATTTCAGAGGTCCCAATTTAGGCATTTTTGGCAAATTTTGGCATCAAAAGTTTGAGGCCCATTTCTACCGTAGAGGGTGATGTATCCACAAAAAATAATTTTTTTCCGCACGAAACTGGCAAGGATGTGGCCAAAAGCGACTTTTCTCTGACAGCTCTCCGCGTTTCGCGTACTCTCTCGGCCCCCAAAGATTGTTGAATGTCTAGGATGTCGCTGCAAAGCGCGAGCTAAAATTCTGAGCAATTGATATGTGCCCTATGACCAACGTGTGTGCAAAATTTAAAGAAATTCTGCGCGTCGCACCTCGAACACTTTCCTTGTGAATTTTTTTCATTTCTCCGCGGAAAAGAAAACATTTTTTCGGATTTTCTTGACGCTAACCTCATTACCCTGCCTCGGACCTTTGATTCGTCGCCGCAATTGACTCCGATTTTGCCCGCCGGCATTGGGATGGGAGCACAAAAGAAAAACACTCGCGTTCTTTGTGATCTTTAAAAAGTAGTGTTGGGTTGTAAACAAGATCCCGGTCGTTCGAGAAGCGTTTTGGGCTATGTTTTGTTTTCGGATTGGATGATCTCATCGGCTTATGCGGTTTGACGACGAAAATTGCGCTAATTTCATATGTTTTTGGTCATAGGAATATAAAAAATGATTGCAGCGGATTTTTAGCGGCTATTATGAGCCCAAAACTTGCTCGGTTTTAATTGTGATGTGTCGGAAAATACGTTGTTTTCGAGAAATCTATTGTTTTTTGACGAATAAAAAGAGGTTTCTTCTCGTATTTTACAAGGGAAGTACCTGAAGAGCGACTCTCAGGTTTTCTTTAAATTTTGCACACACTTTGGCCATAGACCACATATTAATTGCTGAAAGTTTTAGCTCGCGCTTTGCAGGGAGAGCCGAGATATTCAGCGATCTTTGGGGGCCGAGAGAGTACGCGAAACGCGGAGAGCGGTCAGAGAAAATCCCGTTTTGGCCATATCTTTGCCAGTTTCGCGCGAAAAAAATTAATGTTTTGTGGACCCATTACCCTTTACGGTAGAAATAAGTATAAACCTTTGTATGTCAAAATTCGTAAAATGAAGTCATATTTTTTCGAACCTTCGTTTGGTACCTCCAAAATTAACCTCTTTGATTTTGCTTAAATGTGGCAAACAGTTAGAATAGAATTTTCTTAGACATGGGAGAGTCTTAAGCCGCACTTTACAGAATTAATCGAGATCTTTAGCTCGGAAGTTGAAAAAATCCCGAAATTGTTTTTGATTTTTGCGTTCAAAATTTCAGCATTTGAAACAAGTAAAGTGCACATATTTTCTTACCAAAAATCATCTTTTTCCGATGCCAATTCGAAGAGTTATAGGCGGAAAAATATTTTTTTTGTCAGACCGATTCTCCTCGTTTTACGTGCTCTCTGGCAAAAAGGTTGCTGAATATCTCGGCTCTAGAGATGTTCAACGATTTTTCAACACTATCGGAGCATCATGAACCTTACTTTACTATTTAATTCAAAAATTTTTTAGGAGAAAAATTTTTTAAAATTTTGGAGGTTTTTCAACTTTCGACCTAAAAATCTCGATGGTTTCTGCAAAGCGCGAACTAAAACTGTCACAAATGTCTTAGAAGAAACTATTCTAAGTTTACACCAAATTTCAACGAATTTGAAGAGGTTTCAGTTAGGGGTACCCTGAGGGGAAATTATTTGAAAATTTCAATTTTTTCCAATTTTTTTGTCCTTTCTTGTTCAAGGCTTAAAAGAAATTTTTTTTTCGATTTTTTTGTAATCTCAGTTGTTCGACATGTCCCTGAAGACTTGACTGAAACTCCTTTTTTTCCATCGTCATATTCTTCTCCGTTCCTTCACGGATGTCGCTGATCAGATAATCAAATTTCGCAGGATTTTCGAAAACCGCACTCCGCCCACAATCTTTATTACTCTGGTTTCCAGCCAGCCGTATTCGAAGCCTCTCCGTGATATATATTGCTGGCTGCAGACAAGGTTTGTTGTCATTAGGACTTTGTTTTGTCGTCATGAAGGGATTGATGACTGCCAATCTGAGTATTACCATTTTATTAAAGTGCATGGACATTTTTTCGCTTTTGCACAGCGGAATTTGAACATTTCCTACGCTTGTCGCCATGACATGGTGCATTTCGAACCTTTTCCCACACTTGTCGCTTACGCACGGTGCATTTTCTCTTTTTGCACAGCGCAAACCACAAAAAAGCCGTTTGCACGGTGCATTTTGAACGTTTCCCACGCTCGTCGCCAACGCACAGTGCATTCGAAAAAAGGTTTTTTGGCAACTTTGCTTTATAAACCTTGTTTATTCTGCTCGGTATTGTATTTTTTACATTTTATAGTGTTCATCAGCCTTTTCACAGGATTTGAAACCATTTAGAGCGAAACGAACAGAATGCCAAGATTTCAGGGTTTCCCTGTAGGACTCAAAATCAACCTCGAAAAAGCGGATTTCAGAGGTGCAAAATTTTCTCTGGACAGTTATAATGAACAAAACTGAATTTTTAGACCATTTTTCGGAACCAGATGTTTTCGTGGTGGGACTTAAAAATTTTTGGAAAAATGGAAATTTCGGAATTTTTTGGGTAAAATACGGCCAGCTTTCTCTATCGCAATAGTTTTTCATTACTTTTTTTTTATCAGTAAGCTGCTTTTAAGTTTCAAAAATTCGAAATTTAAAAAAATAATTTTTTGTCATCCTTTTTATCCCCAGCCTTTTCCAGCCAACTCCTCCCTCATTCTCGTCTATAAAGAGCTCCGTTGAAAAATCCGAGGGCTCAATCGACGATCCTTAAACTCATCTTTTCGCTTTTTGTTTTCCACCCCACCCACCGCCGTCGCCGAAAAAACTCGACTTTTTTTCCAGAGTTCGAAGTCGTTTCAATATATAAGCGCGCACCCGCCACTAGGTTCAAACGGGATTTTTTCGCCGCTGATAATCCTGTGAATGATTTTTCGCCCACTATTGTAATGATAGACAGTTAAGACTGCGGGGAACTGGTATTTCGCGGGATTTGGGCTGGATTTGGATGATAATGCCGCTTTTGATTAATTTTTATTGGCTTTTCTGGGCTTTTAAAGGCTTTGTTGATGCTTACAATCATTTTTGTACACCCTGAAATCATTTAAAGGGCTTAAGACGGAATGCCAAGATTTCAGGGTTTCGTGGTGGGACTCAAATTTTCATTCGAAAAAATCGCGAAACGCATTATAAGGAAGTGGACAATAACTTTTTTGTTTATTTACTTGATTTTCGAGGGAAAATATTCTGGTTTTTCTTGTAAAAATCTTTAAATTACCGTTTTTTTGGGGGGTTTCACGGATTTTCTATTTTTTGTTGGCTGAAGTTACATTTTTATCATTGAGGCACGACCGCAATGACTTCCCAAGACTGTTTTGTATTAAGGTTTGATTTTACAACTATAAACTGCATCCTTTCCAAACTTTTTAAGCGAAAGGCCAATTTTTCAGCAGTGTTTTGATTTTTTTGTAATTTTTTTGACTTTTCATTCGTATTTTTGATTTTAATCTCTCCAAAAAAGTGTTTGAAATACGCTCAGAATCTTCTTCTCGTGCTACGCTTCAATTTAGAACCAAAGATAGCTCTCTAATATGGTAAAAATCATCGTTTTTGCAGGGTTCGACAGCCATGTCGGAAGAAAAATGCTGTAGAGCCGAGCTGGAGCTCGAAGCCGCCTCAGCGAAGCGAATAGCCCTTGTTGGAGTCACAGTGTCCGTTGTGGCGGTGTGTGTCGCATCGTTGGTGATTCCCATGCTCTACACATACGCAATGACCGTGCAAAGCGGGCTTCAGGAGGAGCTGATCTTCTGCCAGCACAGAACCAACACCTTGTTTGGAGAGTTCGATAGGGTAGGACATGAGTAAAGAAAACGCTTCCGGATGTCAGTTATCTACTGAATTTAAGAAATAAGAGCTATATGTACCCAAAAATTCAAAGCGACATTTTATACGATGAAGTCGAAAAAACTTGCAACAGGTTTTGTCGTATAAAATAGCGCTTTCCCAGTGGCTTGTAGAGAGAGATTTTTTACTGCAAAAATTCACTGGTCATTCTCCTAAAGCGACATTTTATACGATGAAACTTGCCAAAAAATTTCCAGCAGAATTTCGTATAAAAAGGCGCATTGTTAGTGGTTTTTAGAGAGAAATTTTCCAACTTGGTTTGAAATTTCATTACAGTCAGCATCCGAGCGACATTTTATACAAAGAAACTTGTCCAAAATCTTCGTGGACATGTTCCATCGTATAAATGGTACTATTTCAAAAATTTGTAGAAATATCAGAAATGCCCTGAATTTCAATTTCCTAAAAGTTTCCGGCCAAAAAATCCCGTTTCCTAATCTTTTTTTGCCTTTCAGTTCGAACGCACCCAACGTAAAGGCGCCTACCGCGCGAAACGCGCCGTCAACGGCCGCTTCTTCATCGCGGGCGGCCGCAACGGTCTTGCCCAAGCCTCGTTCGCGCACTCCGGAATCCGTCGTTTCGGCCGCGCCGACTCCTACGCAGGCCAAGCCGCCGGCTACGCAGCGGCGGGCGTCAACTCCCAACCCGACTACGCGCCACCGCCGGCCGCCACAATTGCGCCCGCCCCGGAGAACAACGCCGGCAACTACGACGGCGGCGATTCGGCGCCGGCTCCACCGCCGCGAACGCCGCCAGCGGCTGCCGCTTACGGCGGAGAGGAGGCCGAAGCCCATGAGGAGCCCGCTACGGAAGCGCCAACTACGGCGGCGCCAACGACCGCTGCGCCAGTGGAGAATGCGCAATGCTCGTGTGGAGCGGGATTGGCCGGACCACCTGGACCACCCGGCCCCGATGGAGAAGATGGTAGGATTTTTTTTTGATTTTTTACCTAATTTTTGAGCGAAAAATCGTTTTTTTGCGATTTTTTGGGGAGAAATTCTATTTTTCCAAAAAATGCGTCATGATGACACACTTTCAAATTTTTCAAAATTAATCCTAAGGAGTTGAAAATGAATTTTCACGAGTTTTTATGCGATTTTAGAGCTTTTCAATTTTTTCCAAAAAATCCGTCATGATGACACATTTTTACGCTGCTTAACAATGCAGTAAACTAATTTTTACTATGTTTTACAAGGGTTTCTATAATTTTAGACCAAAAAATTATTTTTCCAAAAAATCCGTCATGATGACGTGTTTTCAAAAAGATCTTAAAAATAAAAAAATACCTAAAATGTACTTTATAGTTATCTGTAGAGCCTCCAAAAAAATTTTTTGACAAAAAATTCCATCATAATGACGCATTTCCAGCGTCATGATGACATTTTTCGGAACTTCCAGAAAACCTCTGGATTTTTTCGTATTTCCAGTTTGGTTGATTGATTTAGTGCGGGCACTTGACTCTTACGTGAAAACTGGCTAAACGAGCGCTTCTGCGACGTCGTCGTTTTTTTTTTTTTTGGGATTTCCGTTGCAAACCCGTTTCTCCACGGCACTGGTTTCGAAAAACAATCAAACCGCGCCGCTAATGTGTTATGGGACTTTTGACACCATTCATCGTGCGAAAATTGACGAATTCGAAGAATTATGAGGATTAGCAGAGTGCAAGGGGCTAAAATATTCAAATTTTTAAGAAAAATGACAAAAAAGTCGTAAAAAATTTCAAAATTTGTCGCGGAAAAAAATAAGAGGCTTCAAAATGATGATTATGAGTGGTGTTTAATCCATTAGTAGCGATTTTACGACAAAATGCAGAATTATGCAAATTTTTTAAAATTTTTATTTTGCCTAATATACGATGTAAAAATGACGTCAGTACCCCTAGAAATATAATTTCTCGAGGTTTTATGAAATTATGCAATTTTTTTTAAAATTTGCATAAATTTTGAAAAACTAAAATTTAGCGGCCAGATCAAGTCTACATGCTTTTTCAAGCATGGAAAATCATAATTTTAAAATCTCAGCGACTTCTACAAACTATTACCCCAAATTAACCCTCAAAAAATTGCAGGAAAGGACGGAGAAGCCGGCAAAAACGGTGACAACGGAGCCGACGCCCCTCAAGAAGTCTCCAAGAACCCGCCAGAGCCCTGCTTCAAGTGCGAGGACGCGCCAGCCGGCCCGGCCGGTGCTCCCGGCCCCAAGGGTCCCAACGGTCAGCCCGGAAAGAACGGCGAAGACGGACAACCCGGAGCGCCCGGTCCCGCCGGAACCGTGGGTCCAGTCGGAGCGCCCGGAACTCCCGGCCCCGCCGGAGAGCCAGGGCCGGCCGGAGAGCCGGGCCAGTTGTCCGACGTGCCCGGCACACCAGGCCCACCAGGTCCACCAGGGCCGGCCGGTCCCGCCGGAACTCCCGGACCCGCCGGAGAGCCTGGAAAGTCGCAGCCCGGTCCACAAGGGCCTCCCGGAGACGCCGGCAAAGACGGAGCGCCGGGTGCGCCAGGAGCGCCCGGAGAGGCCGGTCCTCAAGGAGAGGCTGGTGCTGGAGGCGAATGCTCACACTGTCCTCCACCACGTACCGCTCCCGGCTATTAGGGGCCGTCTTTGTGCTGGTTTTGTCGCAAATACCCGATGGGTATTAACTTATCTCTTTGTTTTTCTTGTTAAACCTCCTCTCTCTTTCTACCGTCTCCCTGGCGTTACAGTAACCCTCTGATCAAAGATTCTTGATCTAAACTACAGTACGCCCCTCATACTATGCCCTCGTCTAATTTTCATATCAGAGAAAGCTCAACTACGAGTTTTATCGACCATTCTTTTGTCCTGTACATTAATGTCTGATGCCCGCAATAATGTTGTAAATTTTTGTGGGCTCCCGTCTCATGACCGTTTGTTTTACAATTCCAGTGAAATCGTATTTATCTGTGTTCGTATTTTATTTGAAATTTACCGGTCAATGGATCACCGTGCCACGTCTTTCAACGCTCCCAAGATTTTTGTGATTTTTGTCGAGAAATCGTTTAAATAAAGAAAAGACTTAAACTTTTTGGGATTTTTTGATAAAGCGTTTTGATGAGGAGACTGTAAGGGATATTATAAAAGAAAACTCTCGGAATGTTACAGTATATTTTCAACGAAGAAATGATTTTTTTGCAAAATGATGACTATCGAAGGTCAAGTACAATATAATGACAAAATTGATGTGAAAATGATCGCCAATCACTTGAATGTGATTTTATAATTGCTTCTTATGTCCTATACTTCTTGTAAAAAGCCGAAAACTACAATAATCTTCCGAAATTTTTGCGTGGTCATCAATTTTTTTCTTCAGATATCAAGTACAATATCATATTAAAAAATCTCTCGGAATCTCGTAAAAACAGAACAGTATTACTCAATAAGACTATTAAACACCACGCCAATACAAAAAACACCGGCAACAATTCAAAAAATTTATTTATTTACAAAATTCCCATATCAGATGTCAAGTGCAATATAATTTTTGTCTAAAAATGATCAAAAACAATCTCAAAGTGGCAGGAATTAACTCGTAATGGCTTCTAGGACCTAAAATGCCTCTAAAATCATGGTAAAGGTCGATGATTTTGCTCGGGGTAATCGAATTTTCCCCTCCATTCGTCGGGCGCTAGTACTGCCAGAGCTTCGGTCAAAATTCCGGCGCTAAGGCCCCATATCTTCCATCGGCGCTCCTGGAGGTCGACTGCGTCCGGAGCCTGCGCAATCACTTCATAATGTTCGGTGAAGAACAAGGGCATATGAAAGACGTGGGAGCCGAGACGGAAGGCCGTGTACTCGTCGCTGAGAACAACTTCGGCCAGCGGAACCTGAAAAAATACGGTAAGAAATGAGGGTTTACATCAAGAGATATCTTAAAAAATCTCTAATGATCATTTTAGACCATAGCCTGCAGTTTCCCGCTAATTCTGGCCTATGAAACACAATGCCAAAAATTCAGGATTTCGTTGTGGGGCTCAAAATTTTGTTTTATTTTGTTCCCACACAAAAAAATTGATAATAAAAAAAGATTTTGACCATAAACAGTAATTTCTCGACTATTCGAAGTCTTGCAACGGAATGCCAAAAAATCAGGATTTCGTTTTGGGGCCAAGCTTTTTTGAAACACCTTAAAATCCCTTTCAACATCAATTTTGACTATAAACTGCAATTTCTCACCTATTCTAACCATTAAAACAGAATGCCAAAAATTCAGGGGCCTGTTTCACTAACATAAAAATAAATAAAAGAGAAGTAGGGAGGAGCGAGAGAGCATCGAAAACTCGTTTGCGAGCGAGAGAAACCGGACGAAAAGCAGAAGTAGCCTACTTTTGCGGGAGTGACTTTTTACGTCCAAAACCGCGGTTCGCTGCGGTATTTTGGCCATAACTTTTTTCTCAGTTGGTCTAGGAACACCCTTCAAAAAACCAAATAAACCTGACGGTTGAGACTACAACATATCCAAACTTCGCTGTTTTATTTTCAAGAGTAGATTAGTTATATAGCTTAAAGTACAGAGTACATTTACACTGAAGATACGAAATGTTTTATTTCTCGGTCAATTTCAAAATGTAGACGCTTTAATTTATACCAGTTGATAGCCCATCTTTTTTTCCATGAGGCTTTTTTAGAGGGCCAATTGTAGGTCTTATTATGGTTGATTTATGGCAAATTTACCTCCATTTTTGTCATAAAAAGAGCCCTCAAATCAAAGGAAGAGGAAAAGTTAGCCCCTTTCGGAACGACTTTTTATGGTCAAAAATGGAGGTTACCTTGATTTAATTGCCCGTAACTCTATCAGTTTATGATATATCGCCACCCCTCAAAAAACATAATGTAGCTAAGAAACGGCTCTACACACTGATTTGAAATTTGTAATTATTCTTATAAAAATTGGTAAGAAAAAATCGTTTTTATTCCGCGAAGAAGAAAAAACGAGATGGTTGGCCGTACTACTGTAAAATTAGCGGTCCACCGGGCTATAAAAGCCATTTAAAACACATATTGTATAAAACTACTTAAAAAATTCTATGTGTTGTTTTTTGGAGGGTTTTAATCCGAAAAGTTTTACCCAAGTTATGGGGATTTTACAAGGAAAGTACTTTTATGGGGGCTCCTACTTTTTGACGGGACATATCTCAAAAAATCAGAAAAAATGCGCTGATGAAGGATATATAAATCTTAGCTGCCCATTTTAGGTTTTTAGGGGTGAAAATGCCCAAAAACTGGCTTAATTTCCCTACAAAAGGCGCAGGCATTCGAAACGATAAAAAGCGCAGTCGGTCTCTTCCTTCGGAAGAGAGCGGTGTGGCCGAGTGGTTAGTACCGTAGTCTGGGAATCAAGAGGGTGACGCCGCACAGGTTCGATTTCCCTTTTGGGCTGAATCAACTTTTTTTGAAGTTGAAGGTCGGAAAAATAAATTTTTGGGCCAAGACTGTCTTATTACGTCTTAGAAACACAATAAACATCATTTTAAGCCAAAATAAAAATTGTAAACCTGTGAAAAATTAAGCGAAAAGGGGTTCATACAGGACTTTAAGTCAACTTCCGATTGAGTTTTCACCCCTAAAAACCTAAAATGGGCAGCTAAGATCTATATATCCTTGATCAGCACATTTTTTCTGATTTTTTGAGATATGTCCCGTCAAAAAGTAGGAGCCCCCATAAAAGTACTTTCCTTGTTAAACTAACATTTAGTCGATTTTCTCAAAAATTAAAGAACGCGTACTTTACGATTTTTTTAAGGACGGGTTTTGGCACCACAGCAATGAAAATAATCTTGGTGATAGCTGAAACTATCAGCTTCATTATAAATTTTGAAGGGTGTTCCTAGACCAACTGAGAAAAAAGTTATGGCCAAAATACTGCCGCGAACCGCGGTTTTGGACGTAAAAAGTCACTCCCGCAAAAGTAGGCTACTTCTGCTTTTCGTCCGGTTTCTCTCGCTCGCAAACGCGTTTTCGATGCTCTCTCGCTCCCCCCTACTTTTCTTTTATTTATTTTTATGTTAGTGAAACAGGCCCCAGGATTTCGTTGTGGGACTCGAACTTTCTATCCTAAAAACCATAGAAATTTCCTTAAAAGTCAGTTTTGACCATAAACTGCATTTTTCAGCCAAGTTTAGCCCTTGAAACATAATGCCAAAAATTCAAGATTTCGTTGTGGTACTCAAAAAACCCCAAATTTAGAAACAAAAAACAAAGAAAACTTACCGCAAAAACTGTCTGCACTTCTACGGTCCTCGGCGACAGAGTTCTGGCCACCTCTTCGCTGATTACTCCCACAATTGGCTGAATGTGGGTGAGTTGTCGGGTGTACATGGCCGGCAATCGTCCCCAGAGCCGGACATCCGCCGGCTTTAGGCCAATCTCCTCTTCGGCTTCGCGTAGAGCGGCCTGGAAAGAAATTTTAACATGTCCTTACAGCTGGAAGTGCCGTATTTTACAAAAAAAATCATTTTTCGTCAAAAAATTGGTCAAAAATCGAATTTTTTGGGGGAAAATCTCAAAAAGCACTATTTCTTTAATCAATTTATAAGCGGACAACACTTCTAGGAGCGTATTTTACCTAAAAAATCCGTAAATCACCAAAAAAAGGGGATTTTTTTTACGGAAAATCAAGAAAAACCCCAAATTTGATTACTTTTTCGTCTAAAGTAATATTTTTTGCCCTAAAATCTCATTTTTTTGACATTTTAGACTGAAAGAACATACTCAAAATAAACCTAGAATCCTCTCAGACGTCACATACTCGTTTCGTACCTCAATTTCGTAATCTACATTGACTTTTGCGGAAAACTTAAGAAAACCCAACTTTTCGTCAAAAATAATGCTTTTTGCCCCAAAATCGTAATTTTTTCCACTTTTCTGACTGAAAAAACATACTCAAATTGAGCCTAGAATCCTCTCAGACACCTACCTCCTCCGGTGTTTCTCCCTTATCAATTTTGCCGCCGGGAAAACACACTTCTCCGCGATGGGCTCGCAGCTTGTAGCTGCGATGGGTGAAAACCGCGTACGGCTGGCCATTGCGCCGCTCCAACAGCGGCACCAACACGGCCGAATCGCCGGGCCGGACCTTGTGATTCGCGCCCCACGCCATGCGATTGGACATCGAGGTCATGCGGCGGATCAGACGGTCCGTTTCGGCGCGAGCTGCGCCCGACTCGGCCGCCTTGGCGTCTTTGCGCAGCTGCGCCGTTCGCTGCAAAAACCGGTCGTGTGCGTTGGGACGGGATAGGAGGCCTTGAAACGCGGGCCACGGGATATTTGCGGATTTCATTGGACTAGAATCGAGGGAACGGGCAGCAGCACCAAGATTGGACCTAAAATAAGGTCAAATTTTGTCGAAAACCTTTAGTAAATGGTAAAATACGACTTCACAAGATGGAATAGACCTAGATAATAACATTTTCATCCTCGATGACTCAAAAAAAATTTTGAAAATTACCTTTTTTCAACAAAAATCGCCAAAAATCCCAAATATCCGCTGATTTGGCATAAAAATCGACCGAAAAAGATATCAACCAATAGAAACAATGGGTTTAAAATACGCCGAAGTCTTTTTCCCCATTTTACAAAAACTTTTTCACTGATAAAAACAGTTTCTTTATGAAAAAAATCTCCAAAAATGTCGAAAACTCAAAATTTATTCCAAATTCAATAAATTACAGTAGTAAAAATCACAGATAAATCATTGAAAGACCACGAAAAGCCTTGCTGAACCGTAAATAAAATTTTTGACCAAAAAAATCATCAAATTTTTTGATTGCACAGTGCGAAAATCGGGAAATTCAAAAACCGCACTGTGCAGAAAAAAGGGGCGCAAAAATGGCCTGAGGCGATTGTTTTGGTCACACCAATCTCTCGGGGAATCCATTGCCGTTTAGTCGTTGGGATTTGGGTGGGATCACATGGGCGTTTTGTTGTTCAGGCCATCTGTGAAAAAAATTACCGTAATTTTAAATTCGCTACAGTAACCGCTAAAGTGAAGAAGCAAAAAAGTTGGAGAAATCAAAAATACCGTCTCCCATCGTCGGTGTGTACCTTTATTGTACCAAAAAATCCGAGTTTTCGGTGCGTACTGTGAGAAAATTGGAGAAAAAAAGTTACAGTAACCTACAGTAAACAAAAAAAGTTGAAAAAATCTACGGAACTGAAGTCTTCACTTCAATAAAAGTTATTCAAATTTCAAATTGTCAAAAATTTCCTCAGTACTAACCGAAAAATCGCGGTTAAAGCTGGCCATAAGTGAAAAAATAAAAAGTTATAAAAATTACTGTAACAACTTGAGTAGTTACAAAAAATAAACCTGGGTCGTGGTTCAGCGTGATATCGAATATCCATTTATAAAAAAATCCCGCCAAAAATCGGGGTTTAAAATTTCAAGCCTGGGCGCAGCCTGCCAACAAAAACTCGTTCCAAATCGACAAAATACGGTTCAAACTTTCGCTAGCTACTAACAAACCCCTCAGATATTCGATACCAAGCCAAAATTTGAGTGTACAATGCCAAAAAAAGTAAACAATTCCCAAAAATCACAGAATTTACAGTTTTGAGTGGACGGAGTCAAAAATATCCAAAATTTTGTATCACAATGCGTAGAATTGAGTGTCCAGCCAACGTATTTCACCATAAATAAGAAATAAACCAAAAAATACCCGTAGAATCACAAAAAAAAATCTCCAAAAATTAACAAAAAAAATCGGTAAAGTTTGCAAAAAATGGTTAGAAATTAGAAACCGCGGCCCCCAAGCTTGCCGTGGGTTATAACGAAGGTAGAGAGGGGCTGAAAATCACCTCGCCGGCGTTCGGTTCGTGTTGGGCTCGCGTTGTTTTCGGAGGAACGTCTTGAAGATGGACGAAATTCCCGACTCCGCCGGGTTCGCTGGGGCCGTTAATGGGGGTTGGGTAGTGGAGCTGGCCAGGGAATTGGACGTCGACGAGTTTAGATACACCGAGGTGGTCGGGGTGGACCTGAAAATGTCGACAATTGCGGGAACTTTTGAAAAAACTTAAATTTTAGGTCCCGCCACGAAAACTTGAGCTTAGAAAAGAATAAAAACGGCGTAAATTTTTTCAATTGACCCTTACCAAGGCATCTATATTCATTTCAACCCAAAAAATCTACCTAAAATTTTTCGAATTTAGGTCCCACCACGAAAACCTGACCTTGACCAAAAGTCAAAATAAAAGGTAAAAATCACTTTTACAAAGTAATCCTACTATTTTTAACCTCAAAATTTCCTTTTTTCAACCGAAATTTTAATATCTGGGTCCCACCGCGAAAACCTGAATTTCACCAAAATTCAAAATCCATTACAAAAATAACATCTAGACCTTATTTACAGCGCTGTAAATTCCACAATTCATGTTATTTCCGACTTCAAATTCATCAAATTTAAACTTTTTTGGTCCCACCGCGAAAACTGAATTTCGCCAAAATTGAAAATAAATTAGAAAAATATCATCTAGGACGTTATCTACAGCGTTTAAATTCCACAATTCATGATATTTCCGACTTATTTAAAAGACGATTTCTGAGTCAGTGCGTCAGCCGTGGACATAGGAAAAAATCGATTTTGAGTTTTCTGCATTAGAATGACTGTTGGAAGGGGCTAAGCAAAAGCGAACAATATTTTTTCCCAAAACCTTCATCAAGGTATATTTTTTTACAATTTACTGTTTTAGAAGTAATCGCCTCCAGCTGTCGTACCTTACCTTACTGTGTGATTTGATGGTTACTGAAGTTTTTGACCTTTGCGGTGACGATGGAATCATTATTTTTCCGATTTTCCTACTGTAACATACCGCAATACCGTATCGGCCGCGAAAAAACGGCCGTAAAATCTTTGTTTCTGAAAACCCACAGCTGATTTTTTGATATGTTAATCAGCGTAAAATTCTGCTCTAGACGCAATCAAAAAAAGTTCAAAAAAGTGAATGACAAATTTCGTGGTATAGTGGTTAGTGGTCGGGACTACCAATCCAGCCTCGCAGGTTCGATTCCGGGTGGGTGCAAATCTCGAAAAAATACTTGAAATCGACTCTAATGGAACAATCAAAGATATTTGATTGACACTAAGCAAATTTGGACAATAACGGCACCTGTATGGGAACTTAAAACGGATTTTTTAAAATTTTCGAGGCTGAATACGTGAAAAATAAAACGGCTTCAAACCGGTTGAAATTGATAGGACTTACTCTAGGGCTAATTATAAGACACTTTCCTGTTAACTTTTTTTGGGATCTTACTGTATCGAGGATTACTGTAACGTGAAACACGATTCCGTTTTTTGTGTACCACATAGCGCGGAAAGCTCGAACCCCCACCATTACGTTTAAAATGATTAAGAAAGGCTTGGGTTGCGTATAAATATTTTTTATATGGCGGTACGACTTGAAACACCTGAGTAATCTCACGCAGTTTGACCAGTTGTTGATAACGTCAACACACATTGAAGACCCGGGAAAATTTTAATTTGTACACTAAGAGTGGATCTTTGCTTTCTTTTTAAAATATCTAACTAAAAAACTAAAAATTTTGTGCGAGAATTCTGAAGTAAACCGCGGTTTACGGGAATAAGTTCTATGTTACAGTAATCCACGATACAGTAAGATCCCAAAAAAAGTTAACGGGAAAGTGTCTTATAATTAGCCCTAGAGTAAGTCCTATCAATTTCAACCGGTTTGAAGCCGTTTTATTTTTCACGTATTCAGCCTCGAAAATTTTTTAAAAATCCGTTTTAGGCTCCCATACAGGTATCGTTGTTGTCCAAAATTACTTAGTATTAATCAAATAGCTCTGCTTGTTGCATTAAAATCGATTTCCAGTATTTTTTCGAGATTTGCACCCACCCGGAATCGAACCTGGGAGGCTGGATTGGTAGTCCCGACCACTAACCACTATACCACGAAATTTGTCATTCACTTTTTTATTGCGTCTAGAGCAGAATTTTACGCTGATTAACATATCAAAAAATCAGCTGTGGGTTTTCAGAAACAAAGATTTTACGGCCGTTTTTTTACGGTCGATATGGTATTACGGTATGTTACAGTAGGAAGAGACCAAAAATAATTCTTCCATCATCTTTGCAAGGGCCGAAAACGTAGTAGGCCGCGGAATTATTGCATTTCAAGGTAAGATACGACAGTTGTGAACAATTACTTCAAAAACAGTAAATTGTAAAAAATGGTACCTTGTTGAAAGTTTTAGGAAAAAATATTGTTCGCTTTTGTAAAGCACCTACCAACAGTCATTTTGATGCAAAAAACTCAAACTCGATTTTTTCCTATGTCCACGCCTAACGGACGGCTGATGCACTGACTCAGAAATCGTCTTTTAATTCATCAAATTTAAACTTTTTTGGTCCCACCACGAAAACCCTGAAGATCAGGGAAACTCGTCCAATCTTTTCCAAACCGCTTCCACCTCCCCCCAAATGCTCTAAAACATACCTGGCTGAGGACGTTCCACTCTGTAGGTCACTGAGATGCCGATGGCTGCTGTATTCATTGCGTTCCGTGTTGGGATGCAAATTATTCGTGTCCGAGTTGAAGTGATGTCGCACTTCTTGAGCCAAATGTTTTCGCTGTATGACGTCTGCCGCCTGTTCGTAGAATTCAGTGGCGATGAGTCGTTGCTCTTCCGTTGCGACATGTCTGTAGGCGTCGGCCTGTTGGCGGACCGACCTCAACTGTTCCTCCAACCGCTTGACCTCTGCCTTCAATTCGAGGACTTCGCTGCCGGCCAGACCGCTCGAGGTGTCGTCCGGATTGAGGACAACATATTCGGAGATGATTTGGGCGGATCGTTTGATGGCTTCTTCGTAATCCCGCATTTTTTCTTTCAGCTGTTGCAGCTCGTCTAAAACAAGGTAAATGGGTCAAATAATAAATTTCATATTCTTAAATCTTCTCTTCAAGTTCTGAACTACTCAAAACTCTCGAAAAATCTCAAATTCGGCGTATTTTAGCCGATGTACCTCTGTGGTGTAGTGGTAGTGAGTTAACTTTTCACTCAAAAAGTCGAAGGTTCGAATCCCACCTCACGCAAATTTTCACAAAACCACCAAAAAACTTCAAACAACATCTAGAACTTCTATCCCTTACCTCTTCAAACCCCCATTCTACTTCAATATTTCATTAAAATCACCAAAAATTTACAAAAAAAATCAAAATTTCCGCAAAAAATCCCTACCATCCGTCCGTTTTCTTCGATCCTCCACGGCCGCAAGTTCACTCCGACACTTTTGCAGCTCAGACTTCATCGTTTCCACCTCCAAGTCCATCTGCAATTTCTCTTCTCGCGCTTTGGCGGCGCTTTGGTTGGCCCGTTGAATTTCGGCCATCGAATTCTGTTTGTATGAATCAAATTCAATTTCTAGATGTCGCTTGTCGGATTCTAATGCTGATAGTCGAACGCGAGATTCCACTAGATCGAGGCTGAAAGCGAAAAAATGAAAACAAAAAAATTGCTAGGAACTGAACAAAATATCAAAAATCCCAAAAAATCTAAAACCAAAAACTCTCCAAAAAAACCAAAATTCATATAAAAAATCATTTGAAAAATCTCAAAAATACTCCCAGGCTTCCTAAAAATAACCCTCTGACTTCAATTAAACCACAAAAATCTTCAAAAAAATGCCGAAAATTTTAAAAATTCAAAAAATCTCAAAAATACTCAAAATTAAAAAACCATTTAAAAAAATCTCAAAATCTCTCAGGCTTCCTGAAAATCTGACTCCAATTAATCCATCAAAATTTCCAAGAATCCCAAAAAATCTCCGAAAAATAAGAAAAAAATCAAAATTCTCCACAAGACCTCAAAATTCTCATAAAAAATCACAAAAAAATCTCAAAATCTTTCAGGCTTCTTAAAAATCCCCTTCGATAAACTCTCAAAAAATTAAAAAAAAAACTCCAAAAAAATCAAAAAGTCTCCAAATTCCCCAAACCCCTCAAAATTCTTTCAAAAAATCCTTACTTTCCCTCATCAAATGAGCTGAAATTATTGAGATCATCATGTAGAGTGGGTGAGGAGGACGCAACACTGTTCTTTTCTTCATTCATCATGCTTTTCGCTTGTTTCAATTGCTCCTTCAGGTCTCTGGACTTGGTCTGCTCTCGGAAAAGCAGCTCTTCCGTTTGCTGCTTTTCGCTTCGCAGCATGGCCACATTGGCTTGGAGGTTGTCCATCTGGCGTTTGTAGGTCTCCATGGCGGAGCACTTCTCCTCCAGCTCCGAGTTCATTTTGAGGATTTTTTGGTAGCGATCCTTCAGCGCGTTGAACTCGGTCTGGCCGGGGCCCGTTTTTTGGTACTCTTTAAACATGTTCATCTTGCGTTCAAAGTCGGCGGCGCGGCTTTCGGCGAGCGAAAGTTTGTGGTCGACGCTGACTTTTTCATCTTTCAGCTCTTTTAGGTCCTCTTCGGCTTCGCGGATTCGGTTTTTCTGCAACGAAAACTCTTCAAAACGGCGCCAAAAATTTTTTTCATTCTTTCATAATTCGATTTTCTGAAACTTGGCACAAATTTTAGAATAGAATTTTATAAGACCTATGCGAAATTTTGGACTTGTCTTTTGAAGAAGACATTGAGATTTTTATGTCAAAAAAAGCCAAACATTCAGATATTTTGTGCGATTTTCGGCTTGAAAATTTTAGGCTGTATTAGAAGTGAGGTGAACAATGTCTTTACCAAAAATACATTTTTTTCATCGGAGAGCTCAAAAAATTACAGCCGAAAAAACGTTTTTCATCACTCCGTCCCTCCCCATTCTACGTATTCCCTCGAAAAAAAGGTCGTTGAATATCCCGGCTCTGACCGCAAATATTGGGCTAAAATTTACAGGAATTAATATATGGCCTAGGTGACTATGATCACAAAATATCAAGGAAATCTGAGCGTCATCACCAATTTTAAAATGAATGTTACAAATTCATTTAAAAATTGGTATCATTCCGGGTGTGACGCTCAGATTTCCTTCAAATTCTGTGATCGCAGTTCACCTAGGCCACATATTAATTCCTGAAAATTTTAGCTCAATATTTGCCGTCAAATCCAATATATTCAACGATCTTTTTTCGAGGAAATACGTAAAATCTTGAGAGACGGAGTGATGAAAAAACATTTTTAGGCTGTATTTTTTTTGAGCTCTCCGATGAAAAAATGTATTTTTGGGAAAGACATTGTTCACCTCACTTCTAATCCACCCTTTTATTTTCAAGCCAAAAATCGCAAAAAAATATCCGAATTTTTTCTCTTTCGACCTAAAAATCGCAATGTCTTCTTCAAAAAGACAAGTCAAAAATCTCGCATACTCTTACAAAACTCTACTCTAACTTTCTACCAAGTTTATTCATAAAAATCCTCAGCAGAAAAAATTAAAATTTCCCAAAAAAATCCTTACCATTTTCGAGTTCTCGGCCTCCAATCGTTCGCATTTCAATGCCCATTCCGCGGCATCCGTTTCCAATTTGCGTGTGAGTTCATCGGCCAATTTGAGGCGCTCTTCTAGGGCCTTGGCATCGTCCATTTTCATTTCCAGGACCGTTTTGCTGACCGAGTCTTCAGCGTATTTTTTCAGGTCTTCTTTCGCATTGCCTAATTCGAATTCGAGTTTGGTGAGTTTGTCCGATAAAATGGCGTTCTGAAGGCCGGAAAAAATAAAAAAAAATTCAAAAAAAAATGAATAAAAAAATTTTTTTTTGATGTACAAATACTATCCCAAACCACGCCAAATAAAAATTTTCACCCTCAAATCCCCTATAAAATAAATTTTCATCCCAAAAACCTCAAAAAAAATCTTGAAACCCCCCAAAATTCCAAATTTCCCCTCCGGGCACACATATTTTTATCTATTTCAAGCCGTCTCCAACCCATATTTGCTTGCGAAAACCCGTCCGCTCTACTTTTATTCAAGTGAAACGTATAAAACCCAACAAAAACCGTCATTTTTTTGATTTTTGAAGAGAGCTCCCACAGATCTCTTTTCTTTCGATTTTTTACCGATTTTTCTGGGGCAAACTGTATGTGATTGCTTACCTGACTTGTTGCTTCGTTCAGCTTGGCCCTCAGTTCCTTGGATTTTTGCTGTTCCGCTTGGATTTTGGCCTGAAAATAAAATTTTTTCGATTTTTTGAAAATTTTCCAAAAATTTCCCGGAAAAAATGACAAAAAATCCCAAATAAAGCCTTTAAAATTTCCACCAAGCCTCTACAGAGTTTTTCCAACCCAACTCACACTATAATCCGTTGTTTTATGGCCTTGAATCAGGTCTATAAACTCCAATTCCATTGATTTTATCTTATCCTGGACGTTTTGAGGTGAGTGTTTGAGCATTTCTTGCATTGTTCGGGCAGCTAAATCAACCACATAAAAATTTGTCCCATAAATTTGTCAAAAATCCCATTAAAACCTACTGATATGACCGAGAACAGTGGGAATGGTGGAAACGACGAAAAGGAAGCGAAGAACTGCATCTTCGTCCTTGGAAACTAAAAGAAACACGTATTAAACAGACCATAATGAGTCTATAAAACATCTGCAATTCATTTCCCATCCAAACAAAACGATTTTCCCATCAAAATCAAAAATGTTTATATTACACTAGGTCCAATATCAAAACTTCGAAATTCCTCCCAAAAATCCCAAACATACCAAGGTCTGTAGGTTCAGGAAGAAAGTTCGAGTCCTCTGTCAAGTTTATCTTGCACTTCAGTTCATAAAATTGGACAATTTTCTCATGAACTAATGTTATCCGTCTGACCTGACTCTCCCGACTTTGATCGTCGATTTCCTGGACTTCATTGACGAATTTCTCCGTGAAATGGGATTCACATCTAAAGAATGAACAAACACAATGAATGGGACTTACAGTGAATAAAGAAGCTCGGATATTAATCGACCATCAACAACGGTGTCTATTGTAAAAGCATCTGAGCCGGGGTGCGATGTTGTGGCCTGAAAAGTTTCCAGGTTTGAAATTCAGAAGACATCAACTTATTCAATAAAAAAGACAATTTTAATCTCGAAAAGCGCCTGCTTCCTTTTTTTCGGACGAATTTATATTGTACTTGATGGCTAATATAGTTTTATCTCGTTCGCATCATCACTAAAGTTTTAACCTCTATTACAAACATAATAAGACTGTCTATGACTTATCCTGCGGAGAATTTGACTTTTTAACTTCAAAACATCAAATTTACATTGTACTAGACCTCAAAATCAGTCTCACTTATTCCCATGAACTTAATCAGTTTTTACGCTTTTCAACTCGCACATATGATTAATCAAACGCACTCGTGGGGTTTTCGCCTCTGAATCAGCCAAAAAACTCCCTTTCTCTACTTTCTCTCCATCTGATTCAAACCAATTAGACCTCCCCGCTTTTCTAAATCAAAATCAGCTGCTCTTATCAAAACAGGGGTTCCAATCGCAGCCTCATCTAACTTGTCAAATCTTCTTAAAGTTCAGTCGTTTACCTAAAAGTCAAAACACCAAAAACATGGAAAATAACTTACCCAATCCAGAAGGAAGCCGAGCGTATGATGGCTCTGCGTCATTTCAAAATTCCCTCAACGGGAATAGTATCGAATACACCTGTCCCGTGAGGGGTTTCGTATATCCGGCTCCTCTTTCCCTGAAATTAAGCAAATACAAACCTCAGATGGGACGTAAAACATTTCGAAAGCAAGGGTGTGGAAAACGGAGAATGTCAATATTGAAACCCATAAATCAAGCGTTTGTCAAGGATTTTAGATGTGAATTAGAGACAATTTTCTAATCCATCTGATGCATAAGAATAGAAAACAAGAACGGAAAGAAAAAGATGAAAAATCGAGAGATTTCGGAGGTTACTCATGTCTATAACAACATCGGCGAATTACAAAACAAAAAAGGTATTTGAAAACTATAAAAACATTATTTGTAGTTTACCGAAAGCTTTTTGCACTAGAAAATATCAATTTTATCTATAATCGAAACTAAGAACATTGAAAAAATTGAGCATTTTTATCTCGCTTCATCAAAACTGATGGATAAAATAAATTGCTCAGAAAACTTCCAAAACACCAAAGTTCCATAAAAATTATAAAAGCAACAGTTACAAAGAGCCATCTTTTCACTCTCCTACCAATTCCGCTTCATCACGTGCAAATCCCGCTCGGCAATTATCATAACCAAAACACCCCTTCAAGTGTTACTAAAACAATATGAAAAACCCTTCAAACCCTCTAAAAATCCCCGACTATTCCATTCATAACCTAGTATTGCCATCGCAGACCCAATTTCGATATTAATTTCCCGACATCAAACCCTCCGAGTGCTATATTATTCATGAGGAGTCAGTGGGAATTTTGAAGAATTGATGGTGTCGCAACGCCCATTAAACTTCCCGTCCCGCGGTTGACAAATCCTCCACCAGAGGGAATAAGATAAATGAGAGAGAGAGGGAACGGATTTCCGAAGAGATTTTTTCGGGTTGAAAATTTTTTTGGGCGAAAAGACGAAATGTCACGGAATTATTGGAAACTTGGCGAAGTGTCACAAAATTATTGGGTTAAGGGAATTGATGAAAAATGGCGGGAAAATGAGGAAAACAGAAAAGCTAGACATGCCAGAGGGCATTTTAGCTCCTTTTGATTATGATTTCACCGATATTTCGCACTGCAGAATATAAAAAATAGAGATTATATCTGATATTACACTTGATCACAACTAACTCCACGGACTTTCAATCTGCAAAATTTATTGTCACAACATTCTACAGGCTCTATTTGTCTATCCAAAGCATCTCCCGTTCCTCTGGCACTTCTGTTTCATCTCTTTTTTCCACTTTTTCTTCATCGACAACATCCACGCGTCATTGAACAAATGAGCAGTGGTTTCTTGTTTCTCCAGCAAATCCACCGAGGTCTGAACACAACCACTGAGCTCCTGATCGAATACCATATGACTTCCAACGTCCAGAACCAGCGGTTCACCCGCAATATCCCTTTCAATCGTGGGTTTTGTGCGAATCGCGGCCGAAATTCGCGGAATTCGTCTGCAATTTTGCTCACATGGCTGGATCAGCTGAAAAAAATTAGATGAAAGTGGTCTCAGCAAAATGTAGGGCCTACATTTCGTTTGACAGCGCGATAATCTCCTTCATTTCCGGCTTCATGACAAAAAATTATGACATCGATCACATTATCCATGGCAATTTCCTCCAAGCTTTCGATGGAACGCACAATAAAGATCTGCAGTTCGTCTTCACTTGAAATCTGGACAACTGTGGGCAGTAATCCAATGTCTATCTGAAAAAATCAAAATTTTTTGTTCAAAATTTTAAATCACCTTGGAAATCCCCTCCGAAGCCGGGGGGAATTTTACAGTATAAATTCCAAGGAGAGAACGGACCAGAGCAACATTGTTCGTGGCCAAAACGATGACGTGACGGGTTTTTTCTGCTGAAAAATCAAAATTAAAAAAAAAAAATGTTTTGATCTTCTACTATAAGGTACATCAAGTTTAACTCTCCGATTTTGTTCAAATTTTGCAAAACTTTTCTGAAGAGACTATAATTGAATCACCAAAAATTTCAGCTCATAATATTCAGCGAGAGCCAAGATATTCAAAGATCTTAGAGAGCACGCAAAATGAGGAGAGACGGTCAGAGAAAAAACATGTTTTTGTCAATAACTCTTCGAATTGGGCTGGGAAAATTTTGATTTTTGGTGGAGATGTTTGTAACCTCACTGGTAATAAAATCCAAAATATTTTGAAGAGAAAAAAATCAAAAAAAAAATTGAGATTTTTTAATTTTTCGATCAAAAAATCTAAGTTCTTTTTGCAAAGCGCGGGCTAAAACTTTGACAGAACGCTTGGAAAAGTCCATTTAAAATTTGTGGCAAGTTTCAGAAAGATCGAACGGCTCAAACTTGAGATATCATTTAAAAAGGTTATATTACCCACCATTTTGCGTCTGAACCACTTCCAGCTCCATTTTCGGGCTGTGAAACGACTCAGTTTGACTTCGCTCGGCTTCAACTGACTCTTCCGAAGACTTGACCTCCTTCTGATCAACTTTCTTCCCTTCCTTTTCCTTTATCTCTTCAGTTTCAGTCGATCTAGCGGTTGATTCACCCTCGGAACCCGTTGATTTTTTCATCGGCTTGTTCAGCATCTTCCGACGGTAATACCTCTCCTTTTCCTTGGCCAAATCAATGGTTCCAGGGCGTGGTTTTCGGCCCGGACAACAGCCATAACGGCCGATGAGTCCGTAGTCAGGGCGTTGTCTTGGAATTGCATCGGGATGTGAACGACCGGAAAATAGGCTTGATTAGAGTTGAAAAAAGAGCAAAAATTGCAAAGAACTGAATAAAAAAAATAAAAAAACCCCAAAAATATAAAAAATATAGAGAAATGAAGAAGTAAAAAAAAGATTAAAAAATCAAAAAAAAACGTAAAAAATACAAAAATAAAGCAATCAATAAAATCAGAAAAAAAAATTAAAAATGCCAGAAATTTTCAAAAACGCAATTTTATTGTTTTTGTAAGTTTTTGGATGGTTTTGTTTATTATTTTTTTTTTGATTTTTTAATTTTTTTTTCTACAATTTGTTGGAAGGACACCAAAAAGAAAGAAAAAATACTACGAATATAAAAAAATCTAAAAAAAATTGTCAATTTTAGTAGGTTCACCCAAAAGTCAAAAGTAAAGAGAAGAAATAAAAAAAAATTAAAACATGAAAAAATCGAAAAAATTAGTCACCAAGGATGATAAAAAAAATTTCAGTGTTTTGAATTTTCCGATTTTTTTCTTTTTTTCTATTTTTTTGCCGCAAAGTGCCAAAAAAATTTTGTACAAAAAATCGGAAAAGGCCATCCTCATAAAAAAGGCAAAAAACTTACCACTTTTGATAGATCCAATCCCCTTCAAATCTATCTGTCGATACGAATCCGAGTTCTTTCGAGTCTTTTCCTCGGCTCCACCAGCAGATTTGGCGTTATTGTCCTCAAATTTTTTGTCATCATTCAGCTTGTCGACTGCTCTATTTTCTTCTTTTTTTGGTCTCCTTCTTCTCGATGAATCTTCTTCTGGGATCGATGGCACGCTGGGTTTTTGTTTCGTCTCAAAACTCCGCCCACAACGGTCGCGTCGCAGCCCCATCGAGCTGTCACGGCCGATGATTCCGTATTGCCCACGCTTTCCACTCATTGGGCAAAAAAAGTCTGACCGACCGGGAAGTTCACCAACAAATTTTTGAGAAGCAAATGAAAAGTCTTTAGATTTTAGAGAGATTCTGTTTTCCTCATTTCCCGCCATTTTTTTTTGATTTTGTGACATTTCGCGAAATTTCCAATGATGCTATACTGGTGGACAAAATTTCTTTCTGGGCCTAGAACCTCGAAATTTCAATTGAATGGAGCCTGTAGGATACTCTGACAATAAGTTTTGCTGATTGAAACCCTGTGGGGTTAGTTATGATCAAGTGTAATATCAGATATCATCTCTATTTTTCGTCATGTTCAGGCCGAAATATCGATAAAAACTTAATTAAAACGATCTAAATGCCCTCGGGCATGTTTAGTTTTTTCGTTTTCCTCATTTTTTCATTATTTTCGGCAAACCAATAATTTTGTGACACTTCGTCAAATTTCCAATACTTCTGTGGCATTTTGTCATTTCGCCCAAAATCCATCAACCTTGATGAAGTGAGATAAAACATGCTTATTTTTTACGATATGCCTAAGCTTTACTGCCAAAAAATGCCAACAACACAATAAAAAAGCTCAAGCCGTTGCTGTTTGCACCATCATCTTCATCCTCGTCGCTCTCGTCTTCATCATCGTCTTCTTTGGGGCGAATGGGCGCTACATCATCCTCCCATTGCGGATCATCGTCCAACGGGTACGAGGGCGCTAACCCAATCTCGTAATCGCTCAATTCATCGCCCCGCTTCCGCAGGATCAAACAAAAGTCGGCGAGGAAGGGCCGCCCAAGAAGAACGACGAATTCATCGTGCGGCTCCACCTGCAGGTCCAGCACATCCCGGTAGATTGTCTTGTAGTTGAGGAAGTTGGTGTAGTTGGGCGCGAACGCGGTCTCGTTGTCAAAGTACAGAGTGTACGAGGCGAGCTCGCGGAGGGTGAGGTTCTTGTAGGGACTCTGATAAATGTAATTGTAGAGGTGCCGTGGGAGCAGGACTTTTTCGTTGAGCGAGAATTTTACGGGGTAGTCATGAAGTTCGTCGCCGATTTGGATGCTGAAAGTAAACAGTGGGGTTATAGTCATCAGCGGACTATTATTGGGTCGTCCAGAAAGTTCGTTCGTTTTTTTCATTGCTTTGTTTTACAAGAATTGTTTGTTGTCTGGCAAAGGGTGTATATTGTTGTATCTTTGCGTCTCGGGACTCAACATATATCGTTCGAGAGTTATTAATTTTACGTACCCGCCAACAATCTTCCATCCTCTGCTATGCTTGACTTTATACTTGGCTTCAGTCATGTTGCAACCATACATTTCGTTGACGCCAATTTCCATGGCGCCTTTCGTTCCGTTGATGTAGCCGGTTTTCTAAACCGAATTTCAATGTGTCATATGTATTTATATATCTATATCTATCTATGTATTATATATATATATATATATATATATACATATATACCCTACCAAGTATTGCTCCACTGGACCACGGCGGAAAATGATTTGCTTTGTTTGCAGGTTTTTGAAAACATTTTCAACGAAATACCCGTCCATGGTGTAGTTGGAGAAGTCGAGACTCAGCCTCCCCGCCGCTTCCAGATCAATCGGCGCTGTACTGTTGTTGATTACGTTGAATGTAGCCACACGGTCGTTGGTGAAGTCGGTAATCAGCGAACCTTGATATTTGTTGCCAAATAAGGAAGTGCCGCCCGACTTCAACGTAATCTCATCGCCCTTTACGCCGTGGTACTTTCTGGGAAAAAGATTTCTAGGCTCTACGGGGGCACTGGTTGCCAAAGAATGCTCTCAGCATACGTGCAACGAAGGGGGGACCTGACAAAGAGTTCACCTTGGCGCAGAAGGAATCTAAGCCAACAGGGCACTTCGGCGAATAGGGCGAAGAAAGAACCTAACGAAGAGCGTATCCTGGCGAGGAGGGCATTTTGGTAAAGACGGCACCTTGGCAAATAGGGAACCTCAGCAGAAGAGGGCACCTTGGCGAAAAGGGTACCTTGTCGAATAAGGAACTTGAGCGAAAAGGGCACCTTGGCAAAAAGATCACCTTGGCGAAAAGGGAACCTGAGCAGAAGAGGGCACCTTGGTGAAGAAGGCAACTTGACGAAAAAGGAACCTGAGCGAAGAGGGCACTTTGACGAAGAGGGAACCTGAGCGGAAAGGACACTTTGGCGAAGAAGGTACCTTGGCCAATAGGGGACCTAACGCAAAGGGCACTTGGCTGAGAGGACACCTTGACGAATAGGGCACCGTGGCGTAGAGGGCACCTTGGCAAAGAGAGCACTTTGGTGAAGAGGACATCTTGAGGAGAAATGATGCGGTAAAGGAAAATCCAATTTTTTGGGAGTTTTTTTGCTTTGCCAAAAAGTACTTATTTTTGTTTGCCATATCTTTTTTTCTCGACGTTCACACTTCCCCAAGGCACTCTCTTGGTCTAGGCGCGCTTTTCGGACCCAAACTTTGATAGTACGTGGACCAAATGCCTCACTTACCCTGGGTTGTATACTATCGAATGATTGGTCTCGGTGCAAGTTCCAGCGTCAGCACATTCCTCCCCAAGGAAGAACGATTCCCCTTCAAGGTACAACGGCACTTCAAAGGTTTCATTTCCGCTCGGATCAAAAGATACGGTCAGGTACGGAATGTCTGAAGAGTCAGAATTTCAATAGTATCATTCTCAAAAATTTTTTGTCAGCTTATACGCAACTGGTACTTTTCTTCATTGTCTTACCTCCGGTATAGTTTAGCCTGATCGCAGTTGTTAGAATTGTCAGGCCTAGGTAGACTTGAAGACATAAAACCTTGGAAAACGTCATAGATTAAGAACGAGGAGAGAATGTCGCTCTCCCTCTTGAAGAAACCTTGCGGTCTTATTAATTAACCTTATCAGCGCCGCAACACAGAACACACGTCATGTTCTATATAGGGTTGAAAACGTTCTCGATCACCGGGGAAGAAATGATTTTGATAAATAAGAGTTGTGTCTTTATCCTTTTGACAACTTGTGACAACGTTTATCAATTTTATAGCAAAACTTTTTTTACAATATTTACATAATTTTTAGTCACTGTCCTCTCCGCGTTTTCACTTGCCAAAGCGAGAAGAAAACAAGTGTCAGGTGGAAGGAACATGCTCGGAATTGTCGAATAGAGCCTGTAGAATGTGTCGACAATAAATTTTGCTGATTGAAAACTGTGTGGTTAGCTATGATCAAGTATAATATCAGGTATCATTTCTATTTTTCTTTATTTTTCCAGGCAAAATATCGATAAAAACTCAATTAAAATTTGCTAAAATGCCCTCAGGCATACTTATTTTTCCTGTTTTCCTCAATTTCCCGCGATTTTTCATCATTTTCAGCAACCCAATAATTTTGTGACACTTCGTCAAATTTCCAATAATCCTGTGACATTTCGTCTTTTGTCCCCCAAAAATGTCTCAATCCAAAGAATTCGTCATTCCTCGTCATTTTTATCAATTTCTAGAACCGGAAAAATTTATTACACCAATTTTTACAATTTTTTCGTCAAAAAAGAGGTTATTACATTGTAAAATACGCATTGTGAAATGAAATATTCAAACATATTCAATTGATACAATCCGTACTCTGTCCGGACATTTTCCCCGCCAAATTCAGGGTTCCCAAGTCGAAGGTTTTTGCGGCGCGAGGACCTTTTGTGATGTAGTTGGTTGGGACGCGAATCGCAAACTTTTGATAACAAGTCGGAATCAGCGGCGAGTAATTGCACCGATGGTAGATGTTGACTTTAGGTTGGATGTTTGTGACCTCGTTGGCGGTTCCTTCGACACGGAAAGTGCCGGAGGCGTCCGTGGTGGCTTTGCCCATCAAGTCGTCGAAGGTGAAGGTGTCCTTGTCGTAGAGCTTGATTTTCTGAAAAGAAATGACATTTTTTGGTCGAGCGCTGAGGTCCAGGGCATTCACAAAGCTGCATTATCAAGGTTGCTTGTCGCTGCCGCGACAAAATTTTTCAGGTTTTCCCGACAGCGAGCTGAATTTGACGTCTGAATTTAGCAGGGGAAGAGCTCAAAGTGAGACGCTTAGATTTTGACGGACTTGAAAGAAATGAAATAATTATTTCTATGACGTATGCGAGATTTCGCAAAACTTCAGGTGTGAGCAACAGCCGAGAAAGGTTTTATTTTTGCACGCTGAATGTCGCAGAAATCACTCCACCGACTCAGGCGAGCGGACTACAGTGGGTGACCTGATCAAGTGAAAAAAAAAAAAGCCATCGGATGCTCCGCGGACGCTCGGCGAAGGCTCGGCGGCGTAAATTTTGTTTACCCTGAGTTATTATACAGTGAGGGACCTGATCCAGTGGCCGAAAACTTACCATTTTGCATCCGGGAAGTATCAAAAATATGGCAAAATGCTTCCCTCTCCAAGTAGAAAAACTTCGTTTTGAACGGCGCGCCCTATTTCCTTACAAAAAGAGCGGGCGCGCTTTTGAAATCCGAGTTTTTTTTTCACTTGGAGAGGGATGTATTTTGCCACATTTTTTGATGCTTCCTGGATGCAAAATGGTACGTTTTTTGCCACTGGATCAGGCCCCCACTGTACCAGTCTGTCGGGAAAATACTGAACATTCTGTCGCGTCGAAAATCGCATCGCCGCCGAGAAAATGAATTGTCTCGCGACAGAATCAAATTGCTTTTTTCTTCAGCGACTAGGATCGGCGCAGCGAAATTTGTGCTCATTATTTTCCCGATAAACTGGTAAAACATTTGGCTTTTGGACTGTAATCGTTAGAATTCGTTAGAAAACTTTTTTAGAAGCCAGTGACTAGAGAAAAGTAAACCGGTTTTGAGCGGAAGTAATTTTTGATCCCCTAAATTCAGTTTTATTAACAACTCTTTTCTGTAAAATAACTTACCACATCTTTGGCGGGCTTTCCATCACAAGTCAGTCTTCCAACAACGGATACACTTTGCTGCGGACGAGCGCCGAAAACGAAGCTGGTCGATAAAGCCAGAAGACATGCCATATACAAGGTTGAGGTCATGATTTCTTAAAAATAGATTATTGAAGACGTCAAAACATAGTTCGATATTGTAAAATACGAATTCTCCTTCATTATGCTGAATGAAAACAAAAAAATCATCAAAAATCATAAAAAAATGTCGTGGACAATATCAAAAATGACTGGTCCTTGATGAATTTGAAAATTTTTTGTTATTAGATTATTTTATGAGCACAAATATTATTTTCAGACTGCTTTCAGTTGTTTACAACCCCTAAAACAGAATGCCAAAATTGGCGGGAACTTTGAATTTTGTTGATTTTTTCGGTGTTTTTTTGCAAAAAATTGTGAAATACTACGTAAAAAGGTACTAGAACATTATTTTCAGATTACTTTCATTACATCCCGTATTTTACAACTCCTATAACGGAATGCCAAAATTGGCGGGAAATTTGAATTTTGTTGATTTTTTTCGAAAATTTCAAAAGAAATTTGTCAAATATTATATATGCAAGATACTACAACAAATCTTACTTCCAAATCTACTCAATTTCCCGTTAAAAAATCAAATTTATACTAATCCGCCCAGCTGTCAAGTGCAATATAATTTGGGTCTATGTTTTTTGCATAGAAATAAAAATGCTTTTTCTTAGAAAACTTATTTTTAGAAAAAATGATTTTTTTCATAGAAAAAAACGTTTTTATTTTAGAAAAGAAAAGTTTTTCCTTAGAAAGTGCAATTTTTAGTAAATTTATGTATAATAATAACAAAAATTGATTTCAAACAGTAACTAGTAGTAAATTTTGTTAAGTAATGGGGTAAAATAGTAAGAGTAGTAACTTTTTTAATGAATATTTGGTACTGGGATATTCGATGGTTCTGATTTCGAAAAAATAGCTTGTTTTTTGTGATTTTGACTTTTTTCTTAAGAAGTACTGTAAATTAGTAACAATTTGTATTGTTTATGCCTCAATGTCGGTTGAAATCGATTTCTTGCTCATACTTGGGTTTACCCTTATATAACTTCAAACAAATTCTGACGAACCAGAAGGAATATTCAATTAAACAATTCAACAATTAATCAAAAAATTCAAAATTGATACTAACTTACAGTACTACTTAAGAAAAAAGTCAAAATCACAAAAAAACGAACTATGTTTTCGAAATCAGCACCATCGAATACCCCAGTCCCCAATATCCACTCAAAAAGTTACTACCCTTACTATTTGACCCCACTACTTAACAAAGTTTACTACTAGTTACTGTTTAAAATCAATTTTTGTTATTGTTATACACAACTTTACTAAAAATTGCACTTTCTAAGGAAAAACCATTCTTTTCTAAAATAAAAATGTTTTTTTCTACGAAAAAATCATTTTTTCTAAAAATAAGTTTTCTAAGAAAAAGCATTTTTATTTCTATGCGAAAAACATTTTCCCATATAATTTTTCAAATATTTTGACCAAAGAAATCAAAAAATCCCTAAAACAGACGTCCAGACTGTAAATGGGCTCGTCCGACGTTTGTAATAAACAAACTCCGATCTCATAATTTTTTATTTATTTTGTTGTATCGAAATAGTAAAGTGGGAGGACCTTCTCGATAAATATTTACGATAAAAATGGAGTTTTTTTTTTGTTTTTTATGAAACGAATTTTGACAAAATTGACTTGATTGATCCGTCGAAATCGCAACGGAAATCGGTGCAAACAAACGGTTGAAATGGGGTGATGAACAGTGAGAGGGAGCCGGTAGATGAGTAATATAAAAAATGATGGAATAACAATGTAAAAAATGAGTCATAATTCAGTCATGATGAGAGCTAAAATTAGGTTACTTGAGAGGAAAACAGATTAGTTTTTCGTCTAAACTTCACCTTTTCGAAACGTGTATGCTATGAAAAAAAAAAAGATAATGGAATATACACGGCGTTCCGAGAAATGTGCCGGAAAGTTTTTGTCGATTTCTCACCACTCAATCAATGTATTCAAAAAAAATATTTTTGCATGGTAACGAAGAAATGGGCGGGTTTTTCTCCAAAAGAATCATTTTCTAGGCCAGCGCGGAAAGTAGTGTATTCGGCGGAGACTTTTGATCGCTTTTTTGGTCATCACAGCAATCTTCAACGCTTTATTATGATGCTAAAACTTCCAGAAAGTCATCAAATTTTTTGACATCATAGATCAGACAGACAACGTCATCGCTATACAATCCCATTTAGCGACTGCATCCTGTCGCATCTACACCGAAGTCCGAGCGCACCGCGGAGGTTTGAAAGAGCAGGGGAAAAAGAAATCTGAACAAAAATAATACATGTATTGCTCGAAAGCCCAAAAAATAATGAAAAATTAAATTAAAAAAAAACTAAATGTACACAGTTTTGTTTGATACAGCCTTAGGAGAAAAAGCTGTACCAAATAAATATATCACCTTTGCCAAACAACAAAAAAAATCCTTGGAAATAAAACAAAGCAATCAAAAAACGAGCAAACTTTCAGGACAACCTATAATTTTGTTGTGTTCTGATGCCCCGAATGGTTCGCCGATGCTTCTCTTTTCTGTTTTACCAATTCTCAATACGATAATTATAAGGTTTATTTGTCTGGGTAAAAGATATAAGAATAGACCTATGTCCCCAAATCCACCTCGTAACAGCTGAAACTTCATGCCAAACCGCCAGAGCTCTCGTTCTCGGGACGGGAGCATCTTTCCTCAAGACAGATACATAAGATTGATCTTTATGTATCCCTTTCACACCCAGCAATCTTCATCCAGCAACGGAAGAAAAGGCAAAACGACTTCCAGAGGTGTTTGCAGATTTCCCGGTCAAGGCTCTACGGTAAGCTGGCATCAACGTGAGCACCGATATTGAATTCAACGGCGACAATAATTGCAGAGATAAGCCGGCAATGTAGCTGGCGCTTTGAAATTTCACGCCCGTGGAAAGCATTGCAGTCACGCATATGAAGGGAAGGAAGTATAAGATTAACGGATACGCTGCCTGAAATTTGCTGATATTTCAAAAAAAAATGGCCTTGGGCAATAAACATTTATTAGTGGTAGAACTTACTTGCAAAATCATCACCGTGATGAGATGCTTTTGCGCTTTTCGCGTTGATATCGCTGCACTTGTGCCTTGTTGTGCATGTCGTATAATCCGTTGGCCGCAGAAAACAATAATACTGTATTCGGCGACGAACATTAGTTGGCAGATGCACATGCAAAGGATGAAAATTGGATCTCCCTGCAAACAGTAATTTGGTGTTTGGGTACCCTTAAACTGTCACGATTCCGTCAGAAGTTCCTAAGAATTTGCATAGCCCGGCCGATATTTTGTATAAATCTAATGGACCTATCGCCTTTCCGTCAATTTTTGTTTCCCTCGCGCATAAACATAAGTTGTGAACTGGGCGCTCATTTATCCCAGTCTGGTCATCACCGTGAGTTCATGATCTGTGTCGTTGTATTCCAGCTAGGGCTATCTAGTTGATAGGGGTGAGCCGATTTACTATTCGTGTAAAGCTAGGGGCCTTCATTCCTTGACCCACCTCTAGGTCTTGACAAAACCGGGTGTTTCTCCGCCTCTCCGAATTTTTCATGGTATCTAAAGCCCGCCACTATTATAAATGGCCGTATACTATCAGTCTGAAATGATGAGCACAATGTCGCTGGGCGATCGCGTCGCTAAAGTGAAAAGCAATTTGATCTTGCCGCGACACAATTCATTTTCTCGACGGCGATGCGATTTCGGACGCGACAGCGCGCTCATTATTTTACCGACAAACATATAAAATAGCATAGGCCCATACATTGCGCGCACAGAATATGAGGAACGGCGGAGAATTGAATCACAAACACGACAGTCATCCTTACCAGCGTTACATAGACATGAGGAGGACACACCAAATACCCAGCCACCACCAGCAGCTCCTCTCTGCTTCTTTCGTTGGCCAGATTTAAGGACGCGCAGAACAACAACACAGTGAAGAATATCGCAGCTAGAGCCATCCCGTACGTACCCACATATCTCCGTTTACTCCACAAATCGCCCTTGCACAACAAACGATAGCGATAGTAAAAATGAACTGCACTGCAGGGTGCGGAGCTAAGATCCACAACGAGCAGAAAAAAGCCGGCATTTCGAACAGCGAATGATGGAATGTGTTGCAAGTAAGGGTTTTCCACAGCAAAGTAGGCTGTGGATGCTGTGCCCACTACTTCGCTCTGAACCAAATTTGGATTTTGCGGTCAGAAACGTACTGGCATCACAATCCCATGAGTTAGTGAGTAAAAGAAATCGACGCCCGCGTTGAACGCCATAATCCAAGAGTACTCTCGTTGGCCGCTGCCTTTGAGCACTCGATAGGAGAGGAAGATTACCAGCGAAGACAAACTGAGTGAAATTGCGGTCACAATGAAGCAAATTTCGGGGTAAATCGCCCGCAACTCCATGAGGTTTGGAGTATTAGGTAGCAAGCGGGTTTAAACGAAGCCTTTGGGGTTCAGAAATAAGTAGGATGGTTCTCAGTAAGCATATAGAATGTCATCACAATTTGTTGCCTGCAGTAGACGACCAAACTTTTTTGACATTTTGCCTCCCATGCTGTAAAAGCTCGACCCTTTAAGCTTCAAATCTTAAATCAATTATGGAAAATATACACTGTATGGACTCAATATACAGGGCCTTACAAAAAACGTGAAGAAAAGCCGGAGGCTATAACTTCCGGCAGAGGCGGCGTAGAGACTTCGTGAGGTCTTTCGGAACCAAAACCGGCTGGAATGCCCTTAACATACTTTATGACCGCGTCTCTGTCAGACATTGTAGCCAAACCCGTCGCGTGCAGACTGTGATTTGCTCAAAAAGTGCACTGTCCATGTACAATTTGCGTAGTGCAGGCAGGGCGCCACAAAAGCCACTGCAAAGGGCGACCTACAAGTTTTGGAATTGTATGTTTTAGAAAAAATATTAGCTTAAATCTCGCCCAACTTTTATTCGTATCTGACATCATCGCAGTTCGGAATTTCCCTCTTATCTTGTTATGTCAAAAGTGGACGTAAACGACAAAACTTTGACTAGTCATCAACATCGCGGATTTCCTAACAGTTACAGTGGAGGCTGATATTATTTATATTACAGTGACGGACCTGATCCAGCGGCAAAAAACGTAGCATTTTGCATCCGGGAAGTATCAAAAATGTAGCAAAATGCCTCCATCTCCAAGTGAAAAAACTCCGATTTCATTGTGAGATAAAGGGCGCGCCTTTCAAAGCGGAGTTTTTTAGTAGGAGAGTGAGGGGTTTTGCTACATTTTTTCATACTTCCCGTATGCAAAATGGTACGTTTTTTGCCATTGGACGAGGTCCGCCACTGTACAACTATTATAGAATCACGTATATTTTACATTACTACATGTTGTATACTCGCATACAAACGATCACAAACGCACTTTATCCCGAAAAGAATAATATTTTGTACAATTTAAACTGAGAATTTTCTTGAAGTCTCAAAAACTCCTCATTTCTTATTGATGCAATCTCTCCCCTGTCCAGCATATCTCGCTTCCAAATTCAGCGTTCCAACGTCGAAAACGCGCTGCGCCACGGGACCTCGCGTTATGTACTCTTTGGGGATGCGGATGGAAAATTTCTGGTAGCAAGTGGGGATCAGCGGCGAGTAGTTGCATCTGTGGTAGACGTTCAGTTTCGGTGTGATGTTGGTGAACTCGTTGGCCGAGCCTTGTAGGCGGAAGGCGCCGTTCGCGTCGCTGAACCCGTTCGCCATCAAATCGTCGAAGGTGAAGTGGTCGTTGTCGTAGAGTTTGACTTTCTGAAAAGTAAGTTGGGACGAGGATGCTGTAAAGGCGTTTAAGCTACTGGGTGGCCAAAAAGTCTTGACATTTTTCCGCACTGTGCAGAAATGTCAAGACTTTTTGGCCCATCTATCAGTCTGTCGGAAAAAAATGAGCACAATGCCGCTGCGCCGATCTCGTCGCTGAAGTGAAAAGCAATTGCATTCTGCCATGACACAATTCATTTTCTCGACGGCGATACATATGATTTTCGATGCCACAGCGTCTCATTATTTTCCCGACGTACTGATAGTATAAGCGCCTTACATGGGAGCGTTATAAAAACACCATCCCAGCCAACTTACCACATTATTCGCGGGCCGTCCATTGCACATGAACCTGCCGCTGACCGCGACGGATTGCTGCGGTCGCACGCTAAAGTTGGTGATTCTGTTCAAAATGTTTTGGGCCACACATGAGCCCAGCAAGAAGAAGACCAACACCGTGAACTTAAACATTTCGAATAGACTTGGGGCCGCTCCAACGTCGCCGGTTCTTTATATTGAATGTGTTTGTCGAATTTCTTAATTCAAAAGAAAAGTTTTGTTGACTTTAGAGCCGTGTTATTCGGTTGTTTGTATTGACCTTTGTTTTTGAATTGGGTTTTGGAATAGGGGCGGATTGAGTCATACGGTTTGAATATGAGTCATAAGAAAGTTGAGGGAGTTACTATACAATGACAGACATGATCCAGTGGCAACAAACGTAACATTTTGCTTCCGGGAATTGTCAAAAATGAGGCAAAATGTCTCCCTCTCCAACTAAAAAACTATGTTTTGAACTTTCCCTCACAAAAAGAGCGGGCGCGCTTTTGAAACTGCAGTGTTTTCACTTGAAGAGGGAAACATTTTGCCACATTTTTGATACTTCCCGGAAGCAAAATGGTACCTTTTTTGCCACTGGATTTGGTCCGCCACTGTATTATTATAGTATCTTCGGAAAGTGCATAGGCGTTTTTTTCTGTTTCGCACAGTGCATATAAACTTTTTCCCAGTTTTTGGAAACGTCCAAATAATTTTTGATAAAATTTTGCTTTTTTTCGATTAAAAATGGTTCCAAGAAACCTTTTATTCAGTAAAAGGCGAGATTATGTACTTTGAACTGGCAAAAAATTATTTTCTTTTCTGTTCGCACTGCGCAATATTCGATTTTTTTGCACTGTGCAGTAATAGAAATCATAAAAATCACCTAAAAAATACGAAAAAACAGAAACGATAAATAATCTAGAAGGCTTTACTCGTCAAAAATAAGCGTTATTTACAGCTCAAAACTCAAAAATAAAAGTAAAAACACCAAAAAAATTCTAATTTTCATATTTTCTGCACTAAAGCCGCCGCTTTCGCCCTTTGCTTCTTGGCGTTGGCATTGGAGAACTGTCTAAACATCATCGAGGACTTGGTATTCTGAACTCCCATATTCGACATGGCCGATGGATTGTTGTTTTGAACGTTGGAATTGTTCTGAGAGATTAATCCCCCGCCGAATCCGGCGCGCCATCGCTCCCCATTCCCTTGTTGATTGGCCGCCTGCGCTTGGTTCCGGTTGTTCATTGATTTCTTCTGCTGAAAAAAATCGGTTGAAGATTGGGTATTTTAGAAAGGAAAATTTTTTCTTTGCACAGTGCAATTTTTTTATAAACGAGAAATCTGCACAGTGCAAATGGAAAAGAAAAATAATCGCAGCTTGCACCGTGCAAGCAACAAATAAACTCATTTTGGCGGATGCACAGTGCAAAATTTTGAAAAAAAATATCCGCACTGTGCAAACGAAAGATAAACTGGCGGCCGCACCGTGCAATTTTGAGAAAATATCTGCACCGTGCAAGCGAAAAATAAACTTATTTTGGCGGATGCGCAGTGCAAATTTTATGGAAAAGTGTTTGCACCGTGCAAGCGAAAAATGAATTGACGACTGCACAGTGCAATTTGTTTAAAATGTATTTGCACTGTGCAAACGAAAAATAAACCTATTTTTTCGACTGCACAGTGCAAAGTTTTGCAAAAATATTTGCACTGTATCAAAGAAAAAAAAATCATGCACTGTGCAGCCCCTGTATTTTTTTGCACCGTGCAAAAGTAAGAAATAAAAAATTTTTTGTTGAACAAAACATTACAAAAAAATTCAGCATTATCGCACAGTCGGACCTCTGTCAAATTTTTTGCGCTGTGCAAAAAAATAAAAATTCATCAAAATTTTTTAGTTCACAAAATATCACATTCCACCCACCTGCGCTTTCAAATTCAGTCGTTTTGTAATGCAATTTCCGAAATACAACATTACAACGACCATTGCCAATAGAGCTCCGCAGATGATGTAAGCCCAGGTTGGGACTCCACCAAAGTTTTTCTTCTTTCCGAAGGCTCGAAATCGCTCTTCAGCTCGAGCCAAAGCAAACGATTGGTTTAATTCGGCGGTCAGCACCTCCAGAAGAGTATGGTCGGCGGAAATGTGTTGAACAGGGAGGTTCATTTGGCCGACTTCGGAAAGACGGTTTCTGAAAAAAAGCATTTTTTTAAGAGTTTTTGTAGTGTTTTTGATTTTTTTTTTTTTTTTTATTTTGTATTTTTTTTTATTTTTTTTTTCACAGTGCAAAATTTTGAAAAAAATCTGCACTGTGCAAACAAAAAATACGCCTATTTTGCCGTCTGCACAGTGCATTATTTTGAAAAATATTTGCACTGTGCAAACGAAAAATAAGCCTATTTTGCCGTTTGCACAGTGCAAGGACTTCACTTTTATTTTTTTGCACAGTGCACTGTTTTTAATCCCCTGTCACTTCCGCTTTCTTGGTTTTATTTTTGGCGCCAAGACTTCTCACTGCAGGATGAGCCAAGTCTTTCTCCTTGGGTGGTCAACTCTTCCTCTCAAAATTCTTTTTTGTCAAGAATAATATAAATTTCTTTATGTTTTAATCTACATACATCGACAGGACAATAACTCTAAAAGTAAGTTAAATTAACCCTCTTTCTAAATATGCAATGATTTTTTGCATTACATAAGTTTATCCTTGCACATTTAGCCATTGTTGCAGGTATACAAATTTAGCTGAATGCTGTTCGTTCTTGCGATTCCATGAACGAAATTTGAAAGTCTTCCCCACAATAGAACCGGCGTCGAGCCTTCTACGTGCCAGAATTGTGTCAGCATGAAAGGACTTACAGTTTTTTTGTTGATTCGATTTTAGATATTACACTAGGTACTTTTGTCAAATTGCAGGCAAAATCTAACGTTTTTGAAGTTTAAACCCGGGAATCTACAAAGGTGAGCCATTACTAAACCGTCCCCAACATAAATATTCTTTCCCGGGTTTGAGACGTTTTAGGGTCTAAGTGATCAAGTACAACGTGGATCTAAAAAAGTCTCAAATACCTCTCATACTGTTCTAAACATGTTTTAGATCGACTAGGGACCATTGAAATATGGTTTGCGAAGTATTAATACGCATCTATGGCCGCGGATACATCAAAGTTGTTCCATACCTAAAATCTGAAGAAAAATCAAAAACGACAATAAAAGGGGGGACATCCCTGTTACAACGTTAAGAATGTTAAAAGAAAGTTTTATTGTCCATTTAGACCATATATGACGTAAAATGTGACCTAATCTCGCCTTAAACTTACGAAAGTACCTAGTGTAATATCTAAAATCGAATCAACAAAAAAACTGTAAGTCCTTTCATGCTGACACAATTCTGGCACGTAGAAGGCTCGACGCCGGTTCTTTTGTGGGGAAGACTTTCAAATTTCGTTCATGGAATCGCAAGAACGAACAGCATTCAGCTAAATTTGTATACCTGCAACAATGGCTAAATGTGCAAGGATAAACTTATGTAATGCAAAAAATCATTGCATATTTAGAAAGAGGGTTAATTTAACTTACTTTTAGAGTTATTGTCCTGTCGATGTATGTAGATTAAAACATAAAGAAATTTATATTATTCTTGACAAAAAAGAATTTTGAGAGGAAGAGTTGACCACCCAAGGAGAAAGACTTGGCTCATCCTGCAGTGCTTCTCTTTCCCTGCAAAACAAAATCCCTTTGCACTGTGCGCGCGCTTTGAGAAAAAAGTGCACCGTGCAAAAACTGCGACAAAAACATGAAATGCACTGTGCAAGGAGAAAAATAAGTCCATTGCACAGTGCAAAAATCAAATTGCATTTACGCACCGTGCAAGCTGAAAAATAAGGCTTTGCACTGTGCGAAACTAGTATTTTTTGCACCGCGGGGAGGAATATTCAAACTTTTTGATTCTGCTTTTCATTTAGAACACTCCGATTTTTAATTCAATTTTTTTAATTTCAAAACTTTTTTACAGTATTCCTCATCGCCTTCTAAGGCCTCTAAATTGCCTAAAAAACATTTCTTTCCAAGAAAGATGCTCCATTTTTCGAATTTCTCCTAATTTCTGCAAAGAATCTTCAGTTTTCCTATTTTGGAAATAAAGAAGACGGCTCTAATTGCCAATTCCAGCTAACAAACCGCTTCCTTGCATAAAAAAATAAAAAAAAATTTTTTTTGCTCACCTAAAAATTTTGGCTGTCATTGGCCCGGACTTGGTCATGCCCCCATTCCTCAGCGGATACTGCAATTGTTTGAGGTATAAGATTGTCAAATCCGACGCGCATCCACTCTCCGACCAACGGGCGAAAACGAATTCGGCGTACGCATTTACGGCCTGCTCTTTTCGCATGTGTGCGGCGTGACGAGGGCCGTTGATGCAGTTTTCGATCCTGCAAAATTTTTTGAAAAATTTTCATTTATGCCAATCGATTTTTTATACACTGTCTATAATAAAAAAAAATTGGCACTGTGCAAGCCGCAAAAATTTTCTTGCACAGTGCAAGTTCAAAAAATATGTTTTTGCACCGTGCAAATAATAAAAATAATTCTTGCACAGTGCAGAAAATAATGAAAAAGTTTTTGGACTGCGCATATTAAAAAAAAATTTGCATAGTGCAGAAAGTTAAAAAAAATTTTTTGCACGGTGCGGTTTTAATATAAACATTTTTGCACTGTGCAAGTTCAAAAAATTTTTTCGCACAGTGCAAAAGAAAATAGAAAAATTCTGCACCGTGCAAGTTCAGAAAAAAAAAATTGCACGGTGCAAATATAATAATAAAAATAGTTTTTGCACTGTGCAGATTAAAAATAATTAATCTGCACCGTGCAAAAATGACCAAACTTTTTTTTAGAATTTTCACTATATTTGTGAAAAAAAAATTTTTGAATGATTCAATCAAAAAAAAAAAAAAAAAAAAAAAATAGAAAATAAAACAAAATAAGAAAAATAAAAATCTCAACTTTACCTATGAACATTGGCGACCGGCACGATGATCACCGATACCCGTAAGTGGCCCTCCGTCATGCCGGGCGGGTCAATGCACCCCTCAATTGTCCGTTGACATGCGAGACATCCACTAATCGCTACGTCGCTGAACGCCTTCTCCAGAACTTGTGCCTCGGTTCGCGACAACATGGCGGTCGGGTCGCAGATGAAGGGAACTTGATGATAATCGAAGCGGCACATCGCCGACATGTCCCGTTGATCCGGCGTGGGGAAATGACAGGGGTCGGAGGGGTCGGCCGGCGGTTGATTGTAATATTCCGCCGACCGATACTCCTGCCCCGAGGCGATTTGTGCGAAAACGAGGGAGAAGAGGAGAATTGATGGGGAGAAGTGCGATTTTTGGAGTCCATACTCGACGAACAGCACGGCTCCTCGTCCCAAAAGCATCTCCGCATTCCGAAGCACCAAAGAGTGTGGCTGAAAAACGAAATTTTTTGGATAAAAAATTCGGAAAAACAGAAAATTTTCATTTTTAAGAACTCCAATTCGATTGATGAAGTGGTTTGCACGGAATATCGGGAATAATAAAGTTTGACCATGCATGACCGAGTAGTAAAAAACGATGATGAAGCGAATGGTGGTTGGAAATAGAGATTAATGTGACAAAAATGGCCATAATCCCGAAGAATGGATGGGAATAGTGTTCAATTTGAAAAAATTGGGATTTTAAATTCACTGTAGGGAAGGTGGGCAAGATAGAAAAAAATTTTGATTGCATGGTCGAAATGAGGACAAAAAATTGAAAAAAAGATACTGCACAGTGCAAAATTCAAAAAACGATTTTTGCACAGTGCAGAAAAAGAAATAAAAGAAAATGCAGATTACATGTGACGTATAGAGCCTAAAATTGTTTCTGCATAAAAAATTCGCCTAGATTTTTACTGCGCAATTCGGAAAATTAGTTCCATTCCGTCCGCACAGTGCAAAATTCAAAAGCAATTTTTTGCACAGTGCAATAATTAAATTAAATGAAATGCATAGTACAAAAGACGTACAGAGCCTAAAATTGCTTCTGCATAAGGAAATTTGGCCTGATTTTTACCGCACAGTATGGAAAATCGGTTTTATTCCGTCCGCACAGTGCAAAATTCAAAAGCAATTTTTTGCACAGTGCAGAAAATAAAATGAAATAAAATTCACAGTAAAAAGACGTAAAGAGCCTACGATTTCATTCTGCACAAAAAATTCGCCCAGATTCTCACCGCACAATGCGGAAAATCAGTTTTGTTCCAACCGCACAGTGCAAAAATAAAAAGCCAAAAAATGCACTGTGCAAAATGAAAATAGCAGGTTTTGAGTACTGTACAAAGCACTGGTAGACATAAGGATCTCAGTATTAAAAAATTCAGACGCGATTTATACCGCACACTGCGGAAAAATAGTTTTATTCCGACCGCACAGTGCAAAAATCAGAACGTAAGAGGAAAAAGCTTATTTTCTTGAGACAGTGTGGGAAAACAAGGTGCCATAAATATTTTACACTATAAAAAATTCATATTAATCATGAATTAATCCTAAATCTGGCAGAAAATAAATTGCACGGTGCGAAAAAATGAAATCATACTTTTGCACAGTGCAGTCAAAAATTTTGCACGGTGCAAGAAAATCTTCGACAAGAATGGGTGCAAAATCATTTCCAGTCAACTTTTGTACCATAATCTAGCCATTAGGAGAAATTAAACGTCATTTTTTCGACCCTTATTCCACATATTACTAACATATACTAGGCGGGCCAAAAAGTCTTGACATGTCTGCACAGTGCGCCGTCGTGCATGAAATTTGTCGCGCGGCGACAAGAAAAATTCAAGGTGCAATGCGACACCGCACAGTGCAAAAAAGATTGTTTTGAAAAAGGGTAAACAACGCACAGTGCGCTCTTCATTCGCACCCCGCCAAACTTTTATCGCGCGACACTTCGTCGCGACACCGAATTCATGCGCCCGCACGGTGCGAAAACATGTCAAGACTTTTTGGCCCGCCTAGTAACATCAATTTCGGTCTCAAATACACTTTTTTTTATTTTCGGAGCTACTGAAAAAAGTATTTTCCCAGCCCCCACAGCCATGTAACTATAATATATATAATGCCGGACCTAATTACCAGGCCACAGATTACTTTACGCTCGCTTAACCTACTACTTTTTTCATACGTTTTCCAAAACGTAGACGACGAAAAAAGCGAAAAGTTTCTTTTCAGAACAATCGTTCGTCCGTCCTTAATTCCTCCTTGTCGCGGCGAGGACGTCAGTTCCTCGAAGGGACGGGTAAAATGTTAAAAATTCGAAGCATTTATCGGAATCAAATATGGGCCGAAAAAGCAACGCAATTAGTTTTTTGCACGGTGCGGCAGATAAAATAGGCCAAAATTTGGATTGCACCGTGCAATTTGTGAAAATGGAAAATGCACTGTGCAAAAAATGAAAAAAAAGTGAGATAAGGGTTGCACTGTGCAGATATTGTCGCGATTTTTTATTTTCGGCGATAGAAAATAATGAGCGCACGGTGCACGTCAAGAAATTTCGGGCATTGCAAAGGTTCTCACAGCGAAAAAAAATTCATAAAATCTGTCATCCAAATGGCACATAACAACAATGTTTAACCTAATTTTTTTTATGGGAACTCTAGAGAGTACTAGTAGTCGTATACAACTGTTTTTTATACCGCTGGCACATTCTAAATGGGTGTCATCGTGACGCATTTTCTGAACACGGTTCAAGCTAGGCTAAAAATAGTGCAAATTTCAAGGCCGAATATCAAAAAAACTGTCCCATCAACCGGGACGAGACCGGTGTAGATACTCGAAGAACAGTTTAAGGATTTTTTTGACGTAGAGCCTATACCCCCATCCAGTGCTCTCTGACTCGGTATCGTCGATACAAACTTTTATTTAGACGCTGTATTCTTCGCCTTGGAAGACTGTCAAAACACTATGATTATGGGTATATTTTGGTTTTATTAGCTTAAGCAACTCTCGAGCTTTCTATTGGTACCAATATCTTGTGATTTACTATTAATCTTTATGTCAAAATATTGCAAACCATTTGGACAAAAACGAATTTGCACAGGGCGGAATGCCAAAAAAAATTCTAGGCTTTTTCATTGGGCGCCCGTTTTTCTTTTATTTTTTCTTGACGTGCGGTGCCGCCACGAAAATAGACCAAAATTCGGATTGAACAGTGCAATTTTCAAAAATGGAAAATGCACAGTGCAAAAGATGAAAAAAGGACAAAAACGGTTTGCACTGTGCAGACAATGTCGCCCATTTTTAACGACAAGAAAAATTTAACGCACAGTGCAGGCACCACAAAAACTGAACCACTAAAATGCACTGTGCAGTCGCAAAATCAACGGAAAATTACGCCTGCACAGTGCACAGACCCAAACCGAAAGATCAAAAATTCCATTGCACAGTGCAAACAAACGACCCAAAAAGCTACACTGCACTGTGCGCTCGTAAAAGTTGAAAGACTTTGAGCAGCACGGTGCAATGAGAGGAATTGAAACTCTTGGCACTGTGCACTCACACGCGACACGAAACCCAAACCTGCACTGTGCATTTGTCGCTGGCTCCGCCCACTTTTGCCTGGATTGTGAGAAAAAAACAGCAATGAAAGGGAACTTGTCCGCACGGTGCGGTTTCCGCGGGAGGAGCCAATTCATTTTCCGGAGGGCCCGAACAAATGGGCGATGCGTGCCGGATGAAAAGCCGCGAGGAATGTCATCTAATCTGATTCAATTTGCGCCCGCTGAATGTCAAAATTCAATTGTTTTGGGGATTCGGATTTATGGCCGCTGCGACAAATCCAATTTGGCGCCTGAAACAAACAAAAATCGAGGGATTTGGAAATAAAAAAATTTCAAAAAAACTTTTTTTTGTTCCCAGAATTGTAAAAAACAAAAAAAAATCGTAAGTTTCTACATTGCTGAAAATAAAATTTTCGGAAGTTCAACTCATTCTGATGACGTTCTGTTTGCCCACGGCAAAATGAAACCGATATCCCCGCCAATATCCGCAGACAAATCGAAATTCGACGCCAACAAAGAGTGGATTACCGTGAAAAGGGCACTGTTCGAAAAAATCTGCGACGAGGGAAAATCGCACAGTGCAAAAAAATTAATGATTTTTTTGCACCGTGCCATTTTTGAAAATGGGAAATGCACTGTGAAAAGGATGAAAAAAAGACAAAAATGGTTTGCACTGTGCAGACAATGTCGCGGTTTTTCATTTTCAGAAACAACAAAAAATGAACGCACAGGCCGAGAAAATAGACCAAAATTTACATGCACTGTGCAGTTGTTGAAAATGGGAAATGCACTGTGCAAAGACAAAAAAACAAAAAAAGCAATTTGCACTGTGCAATTTCTTGTTTTTCTCTTGGGTTTGCACGGTGCAAGAAACTCAAAGGAAGAAAAAATTTTTCACGGGGCAACGAGAGTGCATTTGCACTGCGCAATTTCTTGCTCTTCTTTTGAGCTTGCACTGTGCAAGAAACTGAAATTGCGACAAAAGAAAAGATCGCACGGTGCAAAAAAAGGTCAAAGGAATTTTTCGCACTGTGCAATTTCTATTTTCGCACAATGCACGCCTCAAAAAAGCCGTCTGCACTGTGCAAATTAATCGACGTAGTCACTGCGATTCGATGCACAGTGCGAAAACGAAAAAAAGATGAAATGCACGGTGCAAAATTAGGGTTTTTTGTGCACAGTGCGGACCGCGACAAATTTCCATGCACTTTATGAAAACATTAATTTTTGAAGTTTACATTTTTTTCATTTGCCTCACCATACCCCCATATACATACATATTATAAAGTCCTCTTTCTTCCTCAAAAAAATCGGCTTACAATCGACCTTGTCGCTTGTAAATTGCATCACCACATACATATATTAAGAGCTTAAAAATTGTGCGAAAGCTCTTAAAACACCAGCCGTAACTTCCCTGCCATGTTCAGAGCCGATTAAACGAGATTTTTTGACGTCGCTTTTCTACAAACCATTCAGTTTTATGAAAGCCAAAGATCAAATAATTACAATTCCCGGGAAATCTATGGGGGGTTTGGAATGCGGATTATAAACTTTTTGAGAATTTTTTGAACCTTCTGAACTTTTGGTTTGGCCATGCGAGCCGTGGAAAAGACAAATTTCCAAATGTCCATGCACTTTATGAAAATGCTAATACGAATACTAGGCGAGCCAAAAAGTCTTGACATGTCTGCACATTGCGCCGTCGTGCATGAAATTTGTCGCGCGGCAAAAAAAAGAAAAATTTACGGTGCACTTCGACCCCTTACAGTGCAAAAAAATTGGTTTGAAAAGGAAAAGCACTGCACAGTGCGTTCTTCTCTTGCACCCCGCCGAACTTTTATCGCGCGACACCTCGTCGCAACG